TTTGCTATTTCATTAAAATCCCCAGCCACCAACCACGACCCATTACAATGGAGACTAATGTTTAGCAGATCATCCCATAGCTCCTTTCTATTTTCTTCCCTAGGACTCGCATAAACTGCCGTGCAAGAAAAGGAAGGAACATGAAAATTCTGAACTTTAAAATGAACAAACTGTTTTGTGTGATTAATAATTTCAACGAGACCAGTCTCATCATTCCAGAGGATCCAAATACCCCCTGAGTAACCTTCTGCCTCTTGAACGAAAGCATGCTTAAACCCAGATTTTCGGATAATGTCAGAAGCTTTTTGACCACTACACCGAGGTTCTAGAATCACTACAATACTAGGCTTATATTTCCTAGTAAACAGAAAAAGCGAATTTTGAAACTGGGGTTTCACTGCTCCCCTACAGTTCCAGAAGAATAAATTCATTAAAAACTATGTTGAACGCAAGACTCCAAGGTTCTTGCATCCTTCATTCTTGAAATATCTTCCTGGTGAACTCTGTCCACCTCCATGCACGTAGAGATGGTTGAGGTTTCAGGATTTTGGATGTCGCTGCTGTTGTCAACTGATATATCAGGACCAGTTTTATGAAATGTGTCATATAACTGCTCTTGATTCTGGTTCAAAGTGCTATCTGTTTTCATCCCATTTTCCTGATCATGTTGATTTGCTTGCATAGGACTAACCGCCATGGGAGTAGCAATTGATGGAGATGGTGGAACGGGAGTATGATCTTCACGATTTTCACTCTGGACTGGACACCTCTTACCCGTGCTTGAAGAATGAGCCGCATGCATAGTAGGAACCGTTGATTTAGTCCTAGGGGTATCTTTGGACTTTTTGGATTTAGTCCATATTTTCTGAGGAATTTCAAACTGAGGGGCCCCCATATGAGGAGTAACAGAATTAATTATTTGATTATGATCCTCCTCATTAATAGGTCCAGCTGTTAAGATTGCAAACCGTGATTGCGTAATTTCCTCCTTATCACCATGATTATCTCCATGATTATCGCTGGTCATAACTCCCTTATTACCATGATTACCATGATTATCGCTGGTCATAACTCCCTTATTACCATGATTACCATGATTATCGCTGGTCATAACTCTCTTATCACCATGATTATCTCCATGATTATCGCTGGTCATAACTCCCTTATCATTATTCCTTTGTAACGTTTTTGAACCAGCGCCTGGCTGGACTGCACCGGCCGTCTGAGGAGGTTGCCGGCTCCTGCGTTGACGATTAACAACCATCCAAGGTCCCAATCCTTTACTTCGATGGAATTCTGAGTTGCCAGGTTCCTCTTGATGAATTTGATCGTCATTATGAATATCGGATGAACTGCGTTGCTTTGGAGCAGCTGAACAATTCTCGGTGCTATGTCCATATTTCCCACAACCAAAACAAATGAGCCCTAATCCTTCATACTCAATTTGTTTGGTAAATCCTTCCAGCACATAATCACCCTTTAATGGCTGAGATAGGTCCAGTTCCACACATATTCTTGCAAACCGTCCTCTTACATGAGCATTTGTATTGCTGTCTACCTTGATCATCTTGCCTAACCAGTTTCCAATCCTTCTAAAAAAAGCTTCATCATCCGGTAGACGAATCCAAGCAGCAATCTTAGCAATTCCAGCACTATTAGGTCTGAAAGTTGGTTCCCACTTCCTCAACGATAAATAATGACCCAAAACAATCCATGGACCACCGTTCAACGCAAAATTGAGATCATCCTTCTCACTAAACTGGACTACGAAAAAGTCATTACCAATATCAGTGACATTGATTTTGCCTTTTCTAGCCCATAAGACATTTATTTTTTTCTTCATAAACTCCACCCCAATTTTCTTCCCAAGGAGTTTAACAATCAGAGCTTTCTCCCAAGGTTTCCTCATTCTCTTCCTTGCTCTTTTGGTGCAACTAAAATAAGTACGCCCATCATCTTCCTCCCACATCTTAATTCCTCCATGGTTGACATCCTCCTCCTCAGCAGGTTCCTCCCCATCTAAGTCTTCCTCGGCAGACGCCTCTCCTTCCCATTCATCATCTTCTCCATTATGACGCATCAGAATTTCCCTCCAGGTTGAACGTTGGCCATTCTCATCTTCCATCCAACCTTCATGTCTAGGTATCATAGATACATCATTTGAAAACTGATCTCCCTCACCTTTATTCCTCTTATTACTTCTTTGAAGAATGTCAAGTTCTTCACTTGATTTGCCAGGATTCTTCCCATGATCACCTTTCTCTCTCTCATCGCTCAATATTAATCATGGATTTAGTATCAACTAAGTGGTACACAGGACATTGGTCATTTCACATTTAGTAAGCTCTTTCCTATGACTTTATATTATTAAATCATATAGAATTTGCCAATGGACATAGACTTTGCTCTTTATGTCACAAAATTCTCTTTTCAAATCTTTATTCATCATAGTAGCCAATAGAAGATTAACCAATAATAATCCAATACCAAATGGTATTTTAACATTAAAAAAAATCAAAAACAAGAAAGCATGCAAGCTTACAAGAATCTGAGAAACAAAAGAGGGTTGCCCCAAGGGCTTGAGAATAAAGTGAATTAAGCGGGTGAAGATGAACATGAGGAAAAGCTGGAGCAAGAAGAGAGGGACAGAAAAGTCCAATGGGTCATCTCCAAACCAGAAACCCTTGGAGTTGATGTGATTAATTGCATGGCATATGAAAGACCCTCCAAACTGTATTGCTTCGGTTCCAGCATGCCCAGCATTGTGAAGGAGCTTATCCTCCATGGATGGAGCAGCTGCATGAGAGTGGTTGAGAGACTTTGTTGGAAGCAAAAGAGTGAAAAGCAAAGGAATGAAGGGAATGTGAGAGAACCCATTTGGGAGAGAATTGTGATCATGGATGGACAAGAGAGAGAGAGAGAGAATCAAAGCAACAATTGAGGGAGCGCTAATGGTTCCTTCTTATACGTTTCTATGCTTTGACCATAGACAGTTATAAATTTAATTAATAAATATTTTTAAGGAATACAATAATGTAACAATCAATTAATATTATTACCAATGTTATTATCAATCAATTTTACCGTTAGATCGATTATGTTGATCCAACGGTTATATTTATTTTCATCTTTGTATGACTATAATTCTCTATATTTAATACTTTATATTTATTTCTACCTTTGTATGGTTATGATTCTTCTTTGTATGGTTATGATTCCACATATTTAATGTGAAAGCATTAAATATGGAGAATCATAACCATACAAAGATGAAAATAAATATAACCGTTGGATCAACAAAATCGATTTAATGGTGAAATTAATTGGTAATAACATGAATAATTGGTAGTAATACTAATGAGTTGTTACAATATTCTTCCCCTATTTTTACGGTCACATTCATGTTAAAAAAAAAAAAAAAAACAGAAAGTTATTTTTGATAGTTATAGCATTAGCATTATTTTTAATAGAAATAAAATTAATTTTCAAATAATAACACGTCATTGTGTGTTTTTTTTTTTTTAATACCAGAAAGAAACCATGTCATTATTTTTTTAGTCATTCACTTTTTTAGTTTATCTCTAGTTTTTTTGGAAAAGTTTGTCTCTTTCAATTATATCAAATTGGATATGCTAAATCAAAGCGATGCACAACAATAACGAGACTAGAAACTGATTCAAAAGATAATAAATAACAGCACGTTAGGATAGCACATCGGGAGCTATGGTATAAATTAGCTGATATGCTATAAGCGAATGATTTTACATCAAGGTTAATGTATATTTAAGAAATTTCATATTAATGCACTTATTTGGTGCGACCATCCACTTAATATTAAAGGAGTGTTTCTCCTTATACGATTACAGTTCTAACATCAAATTTTAACTAATGAAATAAGTGATATTTGTCAGGAACAAAGAAACTCATCATACAGAAAATGCTGATGTATTAACATTCTGTATATACACATTCAGATGTACATGAGTGGAATCTCACTAGCAACGATGATGTTGGCCCAGAATTTAAACTGGAGCATTAACTTCTTTAATCTATGAAAATACATGAGGCTGCAGCATGTGTGAGGTTGTATAATGCTTGCTGCAATTACTATATTTCCCTTCAGTATGCTTAGCTGCTTGGTTAATGTCATCAGAAAAGACACTTCTACATATTATGTAAAATAAGTGTATAATTAACACTGCTGTAAAAATATTAGAGTTTAAGTGTTATTTAATGACTTGAAGAAAAGAATATGTAACTATCCCACAAATAAAAAAACAATATTTGATTATATAGCCGGTTCTTTGCTTACTCGATTATCCTTTACTTATGGTAATATTCAAATGAAATGATAGTCATGACACACCTTAACAATTTTGCCTAGTTAAAAAAAATGTCTGCATCTGAATATGGAAATTGCTGTCAATTTGTACCTGCCCAGCAATATCTGAATGCAAGGTAGCTTTCCTAATGCAGATTCACTTGTCTATGACCACAATGGCATAGAGGTGTAGTTTAGTAACTATGCAGACACATAGGCACTGCCTACGTGTACAGAGGATAAACATATGGTATTTTTATGTTAAAATACAATAATCCAGCTCCAGAAGCTATGCTTTTCTTCAAACACCCGAGTTTCAATAACCATTACACACTCGAATGTAATATCTTTTAGCCTGTCACTTAAGCTGGCAACTCAGCAAAAACATTCATTCATAAGAAGCTTCATAGAGACAGAAATCACCAGCAACAAATGCTATAATTGAAGTAACAAAGTGAAATCAAGAAATGCAACAATTGAAGTAGTCAAGTGAAGATATTATGAATCTTTCATTCATTCAACTCTTTCATTTGCTGGTATGACCATTGACAAAAACAAAAAAAAAAATCTGGTAAAGAATCAATTTAATTGTATAAAATCCTAACGTATAATATCTATACCAAAAAAATGTAAGAAAGGCAGAGAAAAAAAGAATTACAGACAACTTTCTAATGGGTTGTCACCACCATTGATGTACAAGAACTCCATTACTTCTGAGTGAAGTAAACAAATCCAGGCATTCAGAATAGGTCTTCTGATACTTTGCACTTCTCTGACCCGGGCAACATCTCTGCCACCTATTGTAATGGCACTCAAGGAAAAGTTCATCAATCAAACACATAGCCCCAGTCTCAATCAATCTTGGGATCAGATGAAACTCAGTCCCTTCCACATCCATCTTCACAACCACAAAATCTCTAATTGAAACAGCACTCTTCAGCCACTCTGCAAAATCAAAACCTTGAATCTTATCCATGTCACCCATATGGCTAGAAGATGTCTGCACAGGGTTGATCCTCCCCATCCCTCTACCTTTAATCATGACTTTCTTACTTGGGTCTCTGGTAATCTCAAAGAACAAGGTCTCATTCCTCACCCATGCTGCATAGGGCAACAAAGTGACCCCTTTCTTTGTCCTATACTCTTCATGAAATGCTTTATCAGCCTCAATTGCATAAACCTCAAAGGTTCTGTTCTGTTTTGGATACTGTTTCCTGAACCAGCTTCCTATGCTGGAACCATAGCTCCTAGCTCCAACATCAACATACACATACCTATTCTTAAAGCTTATGTCAACCAAAGACGCTAAGTACTTTATGTTCTTAACATTCCTCTTCAACGTAATCCAAGGTTTCAATGGCTCTTCCAATATCAATGCCTCTGCATTTTTAACTATTTCACGTTTATGCCCCGGAACATTGCACTTATTTACGGAATTGCCATTTGCGGTTGAATCTAGGGCTTGAAATTCAGGCCTTTTCTTCCTCATCAAAATCTCAAGAACTGAAGATGACTCAACACCGTTGATCTCTCGTGTCCTGATCAATTCACAGCAATTGAACAATTCAAGGAAAGAATTGAAGCTGTAGGTGTCTCTCGCCGCCGTGTGAACCGCCACGAACCCGCCCGGTCTTAGCGTCCGGCCAATCTCGGCGGCAAACACTGCCAGCCTCGGGGACTGTTCCAGGCCGCCGTTTCCGGAGAACTCGAAGTCGAATGAGTCGACGGGAAAAGGTTGCCGGCGGCCTTCTCCTCCGACGATCAACGGCGGCGACGGTTTCTTGGAGATTCCGATGGAATCGACGACGCCAACTTCTTTCAAAGCCAAGACGTCCTCGCCGGAAGGCGTGTCGATGCAGAGGGCTCTGGAATTGGGGGAGAGGAACCCTTCGGCGATCAGATCCTGGAAAACGGCGGCGTAATACTCGACGGAGCGGCGCCAGTTCTTGCCGGAAGAGTGGGAGGGAGTGGTAAGGTTGAGGTTTTCGGAGAAGAAACAGAAATCGGCGGAGTCGCAGGATCCACCGTGGACGGTGACGATGATGGCGAATCGCACGGCGAAGACGAGGACGGCGAAGGAGAACAGACGCACCAGAACATTCCTCAAGAACCCGTGTTTTACTGCTAGTGGCTCCATGGATTGGTGCCAAGAAACCAGAGAGAAGAAAGAGTGTTCTCTGGGTGTGAGGGTAGGGTTTGAAAATTGAGTATGGCTTGGAGGGCAAAGCAGGAAACTCAAAGTTTCACTAAGCGGTGGTTCTAAGCAAACGACGCCGGAATGAGCGTGGAGCCGAAAAGCCGAGTGTTGTTCTGCCTAAGTGCCATTGAATTAATGTGGAATACCGAAACTGCCATTACAATACCGTTGGGCCTTTTTAGTGACGGGGGATACTGTGGGCCCATTATTGGTTATCCCAAATTAAGGAACAAACTTTCTTCTAATAGAAAGTGTGGAGGTGGATATTTTTATTAATTAGAAAAATTAACAGTTAAAATATAATTGTAAGAGAATATAAATAAAAATAAATTGTAAGAATAATTTTTTGTAAGAGAATATAAATAAAAATAGATTGTAAGAATAATATTTTTCTTTATTATTTCTGTCAATCAAATTAATTAATTAATTGTTAATTCATAATAAATGATAATTATTGATTAGATGAAATCAATAGTTATGATGTGGTTGTAAGAGGTTATAAACAAAAGTAGATTGTAATTAAAAAAATTGTAAGAATATCTTTCTCCTTAAAATAATAATTGCTTTACGTTAAACTTAATTTAAATCGTCAATTCTATTTTTATTGTAAAAATATTTTTTCTTTTTTATTATTAAAAAAAATTGTATATTTTTTTTTTGTATAACCTGGAGGGTATCCCCATTCAACCTCCTCTGATCACCTTGTCTTTAGAGTACGGCCCGAAGACTACATCTCATTGAAACAATTAGTGCATTAAATTTGTTTCCTCTATTTTGTTTATAATGGACTTTACTCATTTTATATGAGTGTAATAAAAAAAATATTTCTTGCAATAAAAGTAAAAATACTAAACCAAAATAAAAAATAATTAAAAATATAAAATAGTATTAACATTAATTATTTTGTGAGTAATGATAATTGTACAATTGAATTATATTATTTTTATACTTTGTTTATATATATATATATATATATATATATATATATATATATAAAGCGTATTATGTTATTTTCTTATTCATTGAAAAGTTTCTTTATCATTTGAGACTACTTTATAACATTAATGTCAATCCAATTTTTTTTTAATGAACATGAAATTAGAGGACATAAAGCTTAACATAGGGCATAGCATAATGTGGTTACTGTTTTTTTTTTACAATTGAATGATAATAAGTCAGAATTAATAAGTGTAAGGTGAAAAATTCACTTTAGATTATAATGATAATTTTTAGTACGACTCATGTAACAACCTGTGTGCACCACATGTATATTATCTCATTATGGTATTAAGCACAACACAATTAGTTAATAATATACAATGAATAATGACATTGTCTTACTTTGTTACTTATACTTGTAATTTAGTCAATTATTCACTTTATGAAATATGAGTAATCTTTTTTTTTATGATTAAAGACCTCAGAGTTAGCCTTACGCAGGTTCAAACCTCACTCATTTGGAGCTCTTTAACTCAAACAATTAGTCCAACTATTATCAATGTTATACGACAAACAATATAAGTAAAACTATGACAACCCGCCCACCAAAAAAACAACTATGACAGCCCATAGACTAATCTCAACTGCAAATTTGTCTTAGCTCTTTTGGTATTGGTATTTTAAAGCATAAATCTAGACATCTAGAATGACACCTTATTTGTTGTATTTGAGTAAGAATAGAAAGAGTTATGGTTCTTTCAGAATGTTGTTAGATTCTTGACAACCAACGAAACATGGTTTCTAGCAGCTTCGATTCTTCACCAAAATGGAAATAATGCTTCGTTGCCCAGAAAATTCTGAAATTTAGAGACAAGAAACTAGACTTCTAGGACTTTAATATTATATATATAATATGCCCTAATTGGATAAGGAACGAGAGAGATATGGCCTTTACTAAAATGGCCAAAACTTAGCAACAAGAATTTTGAACTTGAACAGCACTTACTCTCTCGAAAATTGGGAGTGACTCACTAATCAATAAATTCTAGAATTTTAGGAGGTGAACGTAGACATCATAAGCTTTAAGTTGAAAATTGAATAAGTTATGGACTTTCCAAGTCAATTATCATACAAGGCAAAATAATAAAAAAGAGAGAGTAAATTACCTTTTGGATCTTCAACAAATATCACGGGGCCCAATTTAATCCTTTAACAAAAAAGTTGACTCATGATTCCTCTGAATTCAAAATAGACCCATGTTGGTCCTTTTAGGGACTAACGTGAGTCTTCTTTGAATTTCAGAAGGACCACGATTTCAACTAACTTGGTCTATTTTGAATTTCAGACCACAAGTTGATTTTTTCTATGTGATTAAAATAGACCCCGTGATTTTTGTTGAGGACTCAAAATTTACTTTACTCTAAAAAAATTGATAGCACTTGGCTACATTTTGGTGGTTTGTGATGATTCCCAAGCTGAATAACACTTAATTGACCATTTCTCATATCTAATACATAGATTCAGCTATTCACAAGTTTACTACACATTATCCATCTTAATATTCATCAAAATCCAGTTTTGTACATAAATCACAATGTAAAACTCTCGTAAGTCTCATATACATCATATTAAGCACTTAGAATTATATATGTGATTCTTAAAACTCAAAAGGATTACAATATTATAATTACAAGCCTATATTCCAAATTATACAATTTTCTCCAACAACATAAGGCTATACAATATATATGTAAATATGCTAAAAGTCCTCTAGAATGCATCATGGCATAATCATGCTCCTAGGAACTAAGGGTGTTCCTTGCCACTACTAGCATTAGCTCCTCTGCCTCTGCGATCTTGAAATATATTCCCTATACAGGGTGAGATTTCATCTCATTAAACTAAGACTTCTTAGAGAATTCCTTCACGCTTAAGTTCACCTATGGTGCATAAGCATGAAAATAAATATAATACATCATATATCTCATACAAATGCATAATAATCAAATATGAGCCACCCCATTGGGCACTTGCCATCTATGGAATGCTCGTATGGAACTTCCGAGAAAGGTTCCTACAGGCTCCCCTTCTCACGTGTTAACCACAAGGAGTTGCTCCACTCACTGGCTCGAAGGAAAGTCCACACATACATACCTTGAGATAAGTCCTTACGGGCTCATCGTCCACAAAGAACTTTTGAAAAGAGTCCCTATGGGCTCCTCTTTACAAGAATTAATCAAACTCACATTCTCTTGACCAGGGAACCATCTCAAATATTTATCACACAAGACATATTCATATATTATGCATTATATCATATTTCAATGCGATTACACACACTAACCATAGAAACCACTACTCCCATGGAGTATAATGAATAAATAAGGGGACCAATCTCAAGGCCCAAAAGCTTATCTCTTGGAGACTTCCTCTCCTAAGCTTTCTTCATAACCAAGAAATCAAAGCTACCAATTTTCCACACAAGTTCAACCTATTTCAATGATGAGAATTTAATCAACATCAACATCACATTATACATACAAGACATCATGCTAGTAGTTAACTTGAAAAAGGGTATTCTGATATATTATAGAATTGTGTAAATACTTTGTACAATGGTTCTTTATTTATAGAGAATACAAGACCTAGAATACTTGACCTAATAGCCTAAGCCCAATACAACAAATAATAAATAAATAATATTAATATTTACAACACTCCCCCTCAAGCTGAGGAATAGATATTTATCATTCCCAGCTTGCTAGTAAGCTCTTGAAATCTATCTGAAGGAAGTCCCTTTGTCAATACATCAGCTAATTGACGCCCGGTGGGAATGTAGGGTGTGGTAATCAACACGCTATCACGTTTCTCTTTGATGAAATGGCGGTCGACCTCAATATGTCTAGTCCGATCATGTTGAACCGAATTATGAGCTATACAAATAGCTGACTTATTATCACATAGCAGCTTCATTGGTTCCTCACATTTTATTTTGAGATCATCAAGTATAATTTTCAACCATAGTAACTCACAAATGCCTTGAGCCATGGCTCGAAATTCAGCCTCTGCACTTGATCTGGCAACCACATCTTGTTTCTTACTTCTCCATGTCACCAAGTTACCACAAAGAAACATACAATAACCAGTGGTAGAACGACGGTCCATCACAGATCCAGCATAATCAGCATCAGTGTAGACTTCTAAAGAGAGATTGCTATCTCGCCGGAATAACAGTCCTTTACCAGGAGTAGCTTTAAGATACTGAAGAATTCTCTCCACTGCCTGCATGTGTTTCTCCTTTGGATCATGCATAAAGTGACTGACAACACTAAAAGCATAAGCTAAGTCTGGTCTAGTATGGGCCAAATATATCAATTTCCCAACTAGCCGTTGATATTGTCCTTTATCAACTGGAGGACTCTCCTATTCAAAGCATATCTTGTGATTCTGCTCAATAGGAGTATTAGAGGGTTTACACCCGAGCTTTCCTGCTTCTTTGAGAAGATCCAAAACATATTTCCTCTGACTGATAAAAATTCCTTTGCTTGAATGAGCTACTTCTATCCCTAAGAAATATCTCAGTTTCCCAAGGTCTTTGACTTCGAACTCAGAGACAAGCCGTGTCTGCAGAATCTGTCTCTCCACAAAATCATCACCTGTGATAATAATATCATCAACATATACAAGGAGCAGAGTAAGCTTCCCATTTTGGGAGTGCTTGAAGAAAAGAGTGTGATCTCCTTGACTCTGTCTGTATCCTAAGGTCATCATAACCTTAGTAAACCTTCTAAACCTAGCACGAGGTGACTGCTTCAATCCATACAAGGCCTTTTTTAATCTACAAACTTTATTTTCTCCCTTCACAGAATCAAAACCAGGCGGGATTTCCATGTAGACTTCTTCTTCTAACTCACCATTCAGGAAAGCATTTTTCACATCAAATTGATTTATATCCCAATTGTAATGGGCAGCAAGGGATAACAAGACTCTCACCGTATTCA